TTAATCAAATATGATTAATATTAATTGTCAGAGTAACAATTATTGTTATACTTTTGAGAGTTCAGTGGTCCTTTTTACAGATTCTATTGTTAAGTACAGGATGGTTATAAAGAAAAATATATATTTCAATTAATAAATCATAAAAAAACATAGCTGGTTTTAAGGAACAGAGTTTCATCCAAAGCAAATTGAGAATCTAATATTTTATTTTAAAAGTTTGGATTTGGTTCAGGGTATTTCAGTACCATATTACACTGCATACTTAATTTTTTTCAATTTAGCATTGCTTTTATTTCTCTTATTGAGCAATATAAGATTTGTAATAAGAATAAGATATATGTCAGTTTGAAGGATATTGTGAGGATTAATTAACAGTGTCAAGAACAGATGATTCTTGCTGGAATTTTATTTGAAGCTAAGTTTGATATGCTGATTAAGAATAAAAAAATTGTATTCCTGAGTATAACAAATATTTTTTTCTGTTGTTATTTAGTCCACCTAGGGACAATTGTTTATCTCATTTTAAACTTAGAATTTATTTTAGAAACACAGTTTTTCCAAGACAGGTATTTTTATGTCACAGATGTTTATTTAGAAAGATTTAACTTGCCAAGTTTCAGTTGACGAACAACAGGTGTTTTATTTGTTTGTATTTATATACAAGTCTTGTAAATTTTTAAATTTTAGTCAGTTTTAACAATTTTGCACAGATCTAGAACAAATGATTTATTATTTATTTTCAGTAATTATATTTTTAATACACATTTTTATATTTCAAAAATTATATTATCAGGGTGATTTTATGTGAGGCTCTAGTACTGAGTAACTACTGAATTTTCATTTACTTTTCCTAGGCTGTCAAGAAGTTATTTATAAATGGTACAGAAAAGAAACAAAATTCAAAATATGTGTTACTTTACTGCAAAATCTGCTAAGTAATTTAAACATTTTCATATCTATTTGCTCAACTTCATAATCAGATGCAATTTTCATGTTTATTATAAATTTTATGAAACTTTTGCAAGTTTTTTTTCTAAAGGATCACACATTTTTAATGAGTAATAAAGCATGTTTCTATGAACATTGTACAAACATGGGTTCATTTACAAAAAAACTTCGTTTTGAAACAGTGTGAAAGTAAAAGAAAATATCTTGTAGCATATTTATAATAGGAAACCAAAGATAAAAATTGGTTATAAGAATTGTTTTAATTTTAAAGATCATTGTGAAACTTAGATTTTCAAACGTTTTTGTTTTGATAGGTGTAACAATTTCTTTTTAATAAAGGTTTCCTATTACCAAGCATAGGAGATATGATCTTATTTTTTTTATAATCAAGATTAAGATGGTTTCAAAAATTTCTCTTAACTAAGTGCATTTATATTTCTGTTTCAAATTATAAGATCCAAATGTCTAAAATTGCTGAAGAAAAAAAAAGATTAAGTAGTCATTGTTTTGGCCAAATGACAACTTAATTCATTTTCCCATACTCTGTATCTTGGTATTTTTAACTGGTGTATGATAACAAAAGGAGAAGTATAATTTTCTTTATAACTAAAAGTATTTGTCTTGTCTGCTGATTTAAAATTATATTGATATGTTTTGAAAAGTTATATTTTTACTCAATACATGATACCTTGTGTAGGGTAAATAGGATTTTAGGTTGTATCTATAGAAATATTGAATACAAGTCTAAAGAGGTTATACTTTCATTGTA